AAATAACCCTACTAACGAATGATACAGAGAGCAGTCCGAAAAGAAGTGGATTACAAACAGAAAACACGGCAACAATTTTAACTGAAAAGGGCCGATCATCTTCACCATCACAAATGAATGGCAAAGACGTCCCATTTCTCACAAAAGTAAAATCCTTCAAAGACGTACCGATAGTGGTTGAAGGGAAAACCGTCAAAGATATAAAAATAGTGGTAGAAGGAGATGACGTACCGAGAATGACAGATAACAAAGTTATTAAGGATATTCCCATTACGATAGAGGGGGAGGAAGAGCCAATAGTGCGGGCATGCAGTGCTGCAAGAGATGTTCCGATAACAATAGAAGAAAAAGATCCCCAACACCTGCAAAGTATGGCAGAAAGCCATTTTAGAGATGTGCCATTGGTGATAGAAGGTGATGTCAAGAGAGATGTACCTATTACAATAGAGAGTGTAAAGGATGTGTCAGCTGCGGCAGAGGCTAATAAAAATGATCTGGAAGAAGCAGTAGGCATTAAAGGAAATGTATCAGAAGTGACAGTTAATACCGAGGGAGAAGTTCGAACTCAGGTAGAAACTGAGACTGAAGGGGACTCTCAGAGAGTGAAAGAAGATGTAACCGAAAGAAGGGTACCAATAATAGTTGAAGCTGATGGTATCACTTTGGAAAGAAACGAAGAACAGGCTTTAGAAGATAATTCAAACCTTGTACAAGATTCCAACGGAGATGTGTCAGCGCTGTGTGTGTCAAAGGGACGCGTGAAGGTGCGATAATGAATGTTTCCTCGAGTACTCACCCACAGTAACATCACAGACTGAAGGCCGCTCTCACCCACTTCGCTCTCCGCTCAGTGTTCACGTAACTTGTTTGGTAATAATTTGACTTTACTACATATTAGGCGGCTTCCTTGTGCGAAACACACTAATCTTCAAGAGGTTTTGGAGAGGTTGCAAAGTATCACATTTACCATCACTTCTTGGACAACTGCATTCCAACTGTAAACTTCTTCCTGACACACAAATTAAGATAGCACCTCGTCGATACGTGACGTACGTTGTAAAAGACTCCTCTGTTTTTTGTGCATGATACTCGTAGTTGTCCTGAGTCTCTGGAAGTACTCTTTCCCCTTCTGAGCATGGTTCTTGGCTTTAAGGAGTCCCAACATATTCAGTAACAACGTGTAGGACTCTGTACGTGACTCTCTGCGTTTTGTAGTATACTGAGCATGCGTGTTTTCAACTCTGTAGGAATCTGAGCATGGTTCATAGGTATAAGAACTTTTAAGCATGGTCTCTGAAGACTTTTTGGTATATTTAGAAAATATGGTGCTTCAGTTTATGGGGACCCCGATAATGTTAAATCTCTGATGACCTGGTAATGAGAATGGAAAAGAAATGGAGAACTGATGGTCAGAATAGGGATTGAGGAATAGTTAATAAGCATGATAAAGAATCTTTGCATGATATATGGTGAGTGAAAAAGCGTGTTAGATTGATAAATGAAAATGTTTTTTATAACTAATTGTACATGATGACTGTTTAACTAGCCATGCAAGATCAGCAAAGAAAATTAATGAGACAAATGAACGATAAACAATGAAAAAAAAAAATCTAAATCTTAAATTCAAAATTAATTAAACTTATACATAACACTTCTGGTTTATGATTGAATGCCATGGATGCTGAACATATAACATACATTTTTATAAGGGAATTCGTTATAAAATTTAAGTTCCGAAAATAAGTTGATGAGCTAGGTCGATAATGTTAAATCTCTGATGACCTGGTAATGAGAATGGAAAAGAAATGGAGAAACTGATGGTCAGAATAGGGATTGAGGAATAGTTAATAAGCATGATAAAGAATCTTTGCATGATATATGGTGAGTGAAAAAGCGTGTTAGATTGAGTAAATGAAAATGTTTTTTATAACTAATTGTACATGATGACTGTTTAACTAGCCATGCAAGATCAGCAAAGAAAATTAATGAGACAAATGAACGATAAACAATGAAAAAAAAATCTAAATCTTAAATTCAAATTAATTAAACTTATACATAACACTTCTGGTTTATGATTGAATGCCATGGATGCTGAACATATAACATACATTTTTATAAGGGAATTCGTTATAAAATTCAAGGTTCCGAAAATAAGTTGATGAGCTAGGTCGATAATGTTAAATCTCTGATGACCTGGTAATGAGAATGGAAAAGAAATGGAGAACTGATGGTCAGAATAGGGATTGAGGAATAGTTAATAAGCATGATAAAGAATCTTTGCATGATATATGGTGAGTGAAAAAGCGTGTTAGATTGATAAATGAAAATGTTTTTTATAACTAATTGTACATGATGACTGTTTAACTAGCCATGCAAGATCAGCAAAGAAAATTAATGAGACAAATGAACGATAAACAATGAAAAAAAAATCTAAATCTTAAATTCAAAATTAATTAAACTTATACATAACACTTCTGGTTTATGATTGAATGCCATGGATGCTGAACATATAACATACATTTTTATAAGGGAATTCGTTATAAAATTTAAGTTCCGAAAATAAGTTGATGAGCTAGGTCGATAATGTTAAATCTCTGATGACCTGGTAATGAGAATGGAAAAGAAATGGAGAACTGATGGTCAGAATAGGGATTGAGGAATAGTTAATAAGCATGATAAAGAATCTTTGCATGATATATGGTGAGTGAAAAAGCGTGTTAGATTGATAAATGAAAATGTTTTTTATAACTAATTGTACATGATGACTGTTTAACTAGCCATGCAAGATCAGCAAAGAAAATTAATGAGACAAATGAACGATAAACAATGAAAAAAAAAAATCTAAATCTTAAATTCAAAATTAATTAAACTTATACATAACACTTCTGGTTTATGATTGAATGCCATGGATGCTGAACATATAACATACATTTTTATAAGGGAATTCGTTATAAAATTTAAGTTCCGAAAATAAGTTGATGAGCTAGGTCGATAATGTTAAATCTCTGATGACCTGGTAATGAGAATGGAAAAGAAATGGAGAACTGATGGTCAGAATAGGGATTGAGGAATAGTTAATAAGCATGATAAAGAATCTTTGCATGATATATGGTGAGTGAAAAAGCGTGTTAGATTGATAAATGAAAATGTTTTTTATAACTAATTGTACATGATGACTGTTTAACTAGCCATGCAAGATCAGCAAAGAAAATTAATGAGACAAATGAACGATAAACAATGAAAAAAAAATCTAAATCTTAAATTCAAAATTAATTAAACTTATACATAACACTTCTGGTTTATGATTGAATGCCATGGATGCTGAACATATAACATACATTTTTATAAGGGAATTCGTTATAAAATTTAAGTTCCGAAAATAAGTTGATGAGCTAGGTCGATAATGTTAAATCTCTGATGACCTGATGAATGAGAATGGAAAAGAAATGGAGAACTGATGGTCAGAATAGGGATTGAGGAATAGTTAATAAGCATGATAAAGAATCTTTGCATGATATATGGTGAGTGAAAAAGCGTGTTAGATTGATAAATGAAAATGTTTTTTATAACTAATTGTACATGATGACTGTTTAACTAGCCATGCAAGATCAGCAAAGAAAATTAATGAGACAAATGAACGATAAACAATGAAAAAAAAAAATCTAAATCTTAAATTCAAAATTAATTAAACTTATACATAACACTTCTGGTTTATGATTGAATGCCATGGATGCTGAACATATAACATACATTTTTATAAGGGAATTCGTAATAAAATTCAAGTTCCGAAAATAAGTTGATGAGCTAGGTCGATAACGTTAAATCTCTGATGACCTGGTAATGAGAATGGAAAATTAAATGCTTAAAACAAAAGTAGAAAAAAGAAAAGAAAAGAGAAGAAGAAAAAAACAATTATCATGACTGATACACGATCGAGGGAAACAAACATATAATAATTCGTTTATTTTCTGATCAAAGATGGTGTTGAGCGAAGGGATGATATAATATCGATAATGGATAATGGGTAATAAATATTTGGACAAAGGAATGGAAAATTAATAGATTAGCGAATACAGTAACGAATGAAAATGCAATCCGTTTATGAACTTTGTAATTGCTGAATAATCGATGATAAATAAGGAGGTGATGAAGAAGAAGAAAGAGATGGGGAAGAAGAAGACGAAGAAGAAGAAGAAGAGGAGGAGGAGGAAGAAGAAGAAGAAGAAGAAGAAGAAGAAGAAGAAGAAGAAGAAGAAGAAGAAGAAGAAGAAGAAGAAGAAGAAGAAGAAGAAGAAGAAGAAGAAAATGGTAAGAACAAGAAAAATAAGAACAAGTACAGAGAGAAAACAAGGTGACCGAAAAGAGGAAAATTTGAGAAAAGGAGGAAAAAGAAAAAGAAGGATAAGAAGAAGAAGGAGAAGGAAAAAACAAATGAAAAGGGGAATAGGAAGAATCAAAAGAAGGAGGAGGAGGAAAAGAAGTAGGAAAATAAACCTAATAGTAGGAAGAAAAGTAAAGAATATAAAAGAAGAGGAGCTTACTAAGAAAGATCATTTTCTTTCTTTTTTTCATCATCTTTAGCCAAAGAAACACCTTTATAAGCAACGAAACCCCTTTATAGCCAACGAAACCCATTTATAGCCAACGAAACCCCTTTTTAGCCAACGAAACCCCTTTATAGCCAACGAAACCCCTTTATAGCCAACGAAACCCCTTTATAGCCAACGAAACCCCTTTTTAGCCAACGAAACCCCTTGTTCCAGGCTGCAACATCAACCAGACGGACTCCGGTAGAAGGACAGCCCTACACTATGCCGTGGAGGTCGGGGCCGTGGAGGTGGTGGCGGCGCTACTGGAGGCAGGGGCGGAGGCGGACGTGAGGGAGAAAGCGCGAGGGAGGACGCCCTTGCATCTCGCTACCGTCACGAACTCCTTGGAAATTCTCAAGGTAAACGATGCAGTCGGTTTTCGTATCCTGTGTTATCGGTACGAGGTAAAAAAAAGAAAAAAAAAGAAAGAAAGAAAAAAAAATATTGTTGTTGTTTGTTTTTTATGTGTATTTATTTTATTTTGTTTTGTTTGATTTGGTTTTATATTATTATTATTTTTTTAGATTTATTATATATGTATATATATTTTTTTTTTGGGGGGGGTATGTGTTGTTGGGAATTATGCTCTTTTTATTATCATTCGTGCGTTTATTTACTTTATTTACTTTATTTTATTCACATATTTATTTTGTATTATTTGATTTTATTTATTATCTACTGTTATTACTATATATATTTTTTCTCCCATTAAAAAAACAAACAAATATATATATATATATATATATATATATATATATATATATATATATATATATATATATATATATATGTTTGTTATACTAATTAGCTACAGTGCAGCCAATCTTGTCCTATATCTATTCGTAATTTTAATTATCTTCACGGAATTCACGATCTTTATTCTTATTCCTAATAACTTATTTTCCCCTATTCCATCACCCACTAGAAAAATTATATCTGACTGTGGTGCATTAAGGAAAAACCCAATTTTACCTCGTACTTGTAGTCCCTTGGAAATTTCAAGGGTAGCATCCATTTTTTTTTTTTTTTCCTAAGTCACCTTTAACTTTTTCACTGCTACGTTCTGAAATCATATGCATTCTTTGTGATACGCAATTTCTATAACATAAACTTATAATTAACATATATATATATATATATATATATATATATATATATATATATATATATATATATATATATATATATATATATGTATGTATGTATGTATGTATGTATGTATGTATATGTATATATATGTATATCTATAAGTAAATATAATATTCATACATAATATTACATATATATGTATATATATATATATACATGCATATAGTGTATATGTATATATATGTATGTATATATGTATATCTATAAGTAAATACATACATATTTATATATATGTATGAATATATATTTACTTATAAATATACATATATATACATATACATTATATATATGTATATATATATATATATATATATATATATATATATATATATATAAATATATATATATATATATATATATATATATATATATATATATATATATATGTATATACATACATATATATGTATATGTATTATGTATATATATATATATATATATATATATAGATAGATAGATAGACAGATAGATATAGATGTAGCTGCACACACACGCATACTGCGATGCATATGAATACTTGGCAATTGGACAGTATCCCCGGTTTGCATGCGGAAAATTATGGTACCCTTATTTCTCTGTATGTCTCCAACCGGCATGCACAGTGTCTAATATTCCATCATTCAGTCTTTCACCATCATGAAAACCATTCCTTACTTAACCATCTTCTCATGCAAATCTTTAAAAAATTCCAGCTTTTGCTCAAACCGTTGCTGGAGGACCCATGGCATGCTCGAAGTGTACTGAAGGTTGCAGATAAGGTAGGTGTGATGAAGCTCTTTGCATGGTGATTAGGTTAGAGCGAGCGCGTGGAAGAATGGCTGACGGAGAGAGAGAGAGAGAGAGAGAGAGAGAGAGAGAGAGAGAGAGAGAGAGAGAGAGAGAGAGAGAGAGAGAGAGAGAGAGAGAGAGAGTGAGAGAGAGAGAGAGAACGGAAAACATCTTAACTAGATACAATTTTTCCTGAAGACTTGAATCAGCAAAATTCTCGTTACCTCTGTCCAGAAGTGAATGGTGTTCCATCGACGTCATATTGGTTTCCTGACCATTTTTTTTGTATAAAATATATTATTTATTCTTAGTTATTGATTATATTCTAGATTTCCTCCGTGCTGGATTCTTTTATCCACATCTAATTCGATTCATTAGACAGAATAGGATCGATATGATAGGCCCCTGGGTAGCGAGGGAGAGGAGGAAGAACCTCCCAGAAAAAGAAAATTAAAACTGGCGGACAAGGCACTCCCAAACCCCATAAAACGTAATCTTCGCGTTAATTATTATACAATGGAACTGTCGAAGTATTAGATCTAAAGTAAATTACCTTAAATTGTTAGCCTCGTCCTATGCTCCCGATTTAACGCAATTCGTCTCTGACGATGTCGTTTCGCTGAGGAACTACCATCTGTGTCGGAAGGATCGTGAGGGTAGGGGTGGAGGCGGAGTCGCCATGTACATCCACCAAAACCTCCCTTTTACAGAAGTGACTTTTAATTCTACTTTGGAGTTTGTTGCATGCAAAGTAAAAATTAATGGCACGTATCTTGCTATATGTTCAGTTTATTGTCCACCTGATACAGTGATAATCTATGATGAGCTTTTTGCTCTTCAGGAACGTCTGCCACAAAATAAAGTAATTTTAGGTGATCTCAATGCTCATCATACGTTATGGGGTTCCCTGCGGGTGGATGGTAGAGGTGAGCAAGTAGTTAAGTTGATTAATGAGTCTGATTTAGTCCTTCTGAACGATGGTAGTCCCACGATAATACCGGTAATTTGAATTTTATTGACCTATCACTGGTCTCTTCATCAGTAGCAGCTAAGTGCCTGTGTCACACCATTGACGACTCGTTGGGAAGCGATCATCTTCCTATTTTGATTAAATATTCATGCAACACAGTGAGAACGCCTTCAGCGCCTAAATTTAACGTAAAAAGAGCAGACTGGGTCGCCTTCATAAGGAGCGTCAAGCTCGAACTTGTTGGAGAGACCATTGATGATAAAGTAAGCAATATTCAGAATTCGATTATAGAAGCAGCTTTGCTATCCATTCCTAAAACTTCGATAGATAGCGTTAAGCATAGAGTTCCATGGCGGACACCAGATTACCGCAGGGCGCTGTGCCGACGCAATAAGGCCTACAGGCTTTTCAAAAATAACATCAATAATGAGAACTTTTGCAACTACAAACTAGCAAGAGCTAGGGCTCGTAGAGTAATTAGACAAGCTAAAAGAGACTCCTGGCGTAGCTTTGTCTCTACAATAAATAGTAATACTAAAATATTATAGGTTTGGTCCACTGTTAATAAAATCAATAAGAACAAAACATCTTGCAAAATTAAAAACATCACTCACGAGGGAACCAATTTCGACTCTCCTAAAGACATTGCTAATGTACTCGCCAGGCAGTTCTCTTACACAAGCAGCTCAGCAAATTACCATCCCGCTTTCCTGATCACTAAGGAAGCCGCTGAGCTGCAACCAATTCACTTTGCCACAGGAGATGACCTTGATTATAATAAAGATCTTACAATAGATGAGCTTGTCCGAGCCCTAGAAGCCTGTAGAGGAACATCCCCAGGCCCCGATGAGATTCGATATGAGATGATAAAGCATCTTAATCATGGTGACATGATTAAGTTGCTAGAAGTGTACAATGAAATTTGGAAAAGCCACACTTTTGCAAACTCATGGTAATTCGCCCACATCATTCCCATATTGAAAGGAGGGGGTAACCCTAGAATTGCCATCTCCTACCGCCCAATTGCGTTGACAAGCTGCTTATGCAAGGTCATGGAACGAATTGTTAATAGTAGACTATTGCATTTTTTAAATACCAGTAATTTAATAGTTGACGAGCAGTGCGGCTTCCGAAAGGGACGTCGAACTCTCGATCAACTAGTAAAGCTGGACAGTCATATACAAGAGGCCATTGCCAAGAAAGATTTTTTGATTTCAGTATTTTTAGATATAAAAAAAGACATGACATGGCAATATGGCCTACTCAGAAAACTTTTGCTTTTGGATTACGTGGAAACATGCCTTGTTTTATTCAAAATTTCATTCCTGACAGAATGTTTGCTGTCAAATTATTTTCTGACGTCACTTTTTCGGACATTTTTGTCCAGGCAAACGGGGTCCCACAAGGAAGTGACTTGTCGCCAACATTATTTCTATGTATGATTAATGACATCCTACCAGCTCCCTCTCGGAATCTTAAATACTCACTGTACGCCGATGATTGTGCATTATGGCATTCCAGCAATAATGCAGAGTTCTCGGCAAATCGCATCCAATTGGCACTGGATATGATTCATAACTGGGGCCTCCAGTGGAGTTTTAAGTTTTCCATTAGAAAGAGTATTGGGGTAATTTTTTCATATAGAAAAATACCAAACATTAGATTAATTTTATATAACCACCCAGTACCAATTCAAAATTCTGCTAGATTTCTTGGTCTACTCTTTGATTGTAGACTTAATTGGAAAGACCTCATTGGTCAGTTAAAGAATAAATGTCAAAAAGCACTAAATTTATTAAAGTGCATTGCTGGTAATAAATGGGGAGCTGGTAGAAAGTCTTTACTAATGATACATAAAGCCCTGGTTAGGTCTAAAGTAGATTATGGGTCAATCGTGTATGGCTCGGCATCAAACTCAACTTTGAAAGGATTGGATGCTGTGCAGAATGCTTGTTTACGTGTGTGTCTTGGAGCCCTGAAGTGCACTCGAATCGAGCGTCTTGAGGTGGAGTCAGGAGTACCTCCCCTCCGACTCAGACGCGGCCAACTAGCTCTGACCTTTGCCGCTAAGGTGGCTCGACACCCGAACCACCCCAATGGCATTGGAGGCACTAGGCCCTTTGCCACAAGACTCCACGACCTCGTCGAGAAAGTCGGTATAGATCTCTCTACCCTTGATACCCTGGTACAGTCAAACATAGCGCCATGGGAAACGCCCAATTTTTCCATCTTGGAAGCTTGGCTTCCATCAACTAAGGCCATGGCGCCGGAGGTGGAGGTACGCCAGCGGTTTAGAGAGATCCTTATTAAACATCTTAATTTTTTTCATATATATACCGCCGGCTCCAAGACAAATGAGGGTGTGGGTGCGGGTATGGTCGACTGAATGTCAATTGAAGTTTCGACTGCCGAATTTTTCTTGCTGAACTTTTTGCCATTGATAAAGCCATTGATTTTGCAATATCGACGATCTACGATAGCATAGTTATTTTTTCAGATTCATTAAGTTCACTTAAAGCTCTTAAATCCTTAGAAACCACTAAAAATGAATTGCTGGGTAATATCATTCGTAAGTTACATGGTGCCAACAAATCAATCAAGCTAATATGGGTGCCAGGCCACTCTGGTATCCATGGCAATGAACAGGCTGACAAATTAACCGGGTCAACTGACGATTTGAACATTACCATAGTTCGTACAGATCTCAGGTGTTTTGTGTCTCTTATAAAAGCAAAAATACATCTCCTGTGGCAAAGTGAGTGGACCAGCCTCCAAATAAATAATAAAATGAAAACCACAATAGAACCGTGGTTCACATCATATAGAAGAGAACGAAGGAGGTAGTGTTGGCCCGCCTTAGGGTCAACGCAACAAGATTGACACACCTCACTCCCTATATTGAGAAGAACTTCCCTCCACAATGCCCTGACTGCAACACAAGCCTTACCATCAACCATTTATTAATAGAATGCCATAAATATTCAAACTAAAGAACACCACTCCAAAATTATTTCAGAATAAAAAATATAGAATTTACCCTATCAAATCTACTATCAGATGACGAAAAAATAATAACTAAAGTAATTGTTTTTCTAAGGGAGACAAAACTTTATGACCTTATATAGATTGATAGAATAAATAGGATCCATTGGCTTAATAACCTTGGTCATGTGCCGCTGGTTGATAACCAAGAAATCAAATAAAAGTAAAAAGTAAAAAAGAAATGGTGTTATTTTTATTATAAACATTATAATCACTATGATGTTATAAACGTTAGTAATAGGAAAATAAAATAACGTAAAATATTTTTGTAAAAAAAAAAGGTAAACGGGCGAGACAGGCAGTACTCGTAATTAGCTCATTGGTGACTTAGTACAAGTGTAGCCATCTATGCGTAAAAATCATTAAACAAGTAAACTCACACTGGGCATGGCATGGACGTACGTGACATGCCTATCGGCAATGGGTTAAAACAGTGCAATACGAATAAATGAACACGCAATACGATGACCTGGGACCAAATGCTGAGCGGTGTGGTGGTGTTCTTTGACTCGGTAACTTCTGGAAGCGAACTGAGTCAGACTGAGTCAAGCATTATCGACACCTTGGTTTCCGTCCTAGATAGACAGGCAGGTATATATATATATATATATATATATATATATATATATATATATATATATATATGTATGTATGTATATATATGGTTGATTGATTGATTGATAACGTTTATTTAGCCAATATACATAAAAACAATTTGACATACACAAAATAAAAATAGAATGGCTGAGCCTCCTGAGAACACAAGTTCTCTTAAGGAGGCACCTTATTATGAGGGAATTGATGTGTATTTAAATTCTTAGATTCTGTCATTCCACTCGCAGGTGGATTGGTGATGATAACAGTAAAAAAGGTGAAAATATACAATATGCTATATATAACAAAGGGCAAACTAGTAGATCGAACTAATTTGTAACAAAAGAATAATTCTATTCATAAAAAAAACTAAATACTAAAATAATATATTGCACAAGATTATATCTAAATACACACATACACATAACACAAGACAGACTAGTAGACTAGTAGATCAGACTAAGTTGTAATAGAAAATTATTTAATTCATAAAAAACACTAAAATAATATATTGCACAAGATTAAATCTATATATACACACATACACACCTATATACATACCTACATACATAAACATACATACATATACAGTTTATATATACACATACACACATAAACATACATACCTATACACAAACATATGTATATACACATATATATACACAAATACACACATACATATACATATGAATATACTTATACACATATACATATATATACATGTACATACATACACACACACTCACACACATATATATA